AAGTGAATGTTGCAATTGGTTAGTAAAATTGAGCTTTAGCAACATTTTTTAAGTAAATGTTGCTAATGTTGCCTTTTTGCAACGTTTTTTTAGTGTTACGATGTTTTTAATTTTTTTCAATGTTTAAAAAACATTGCGGAAGATAGAGCTTTTTGTAGCATTTATAAAACATTGCGAAATGTGTCTTTTGCAGCGTTTTTTAAATGTTGCGAAAAATATCTTTCGCAACGTTTAAAAAACGTTGCGAATTGTGAAAGACGATTTCTCCATATATATTTTCCCTGATTGTTTCCCTCTTAATAACGTTAGCCCTAACTTTTCCTTCTCCTCTTGTCTCCGCCTCTCCTCTCTTCTTCCCCCCACTCTCTCAAAACTCGGATAAATGGCATCTTCCTTTGTCCGTTCGAAATCTCTCTCATCAATACGAGTCCCCAACCCCTCCCCTCTCGTGCCCTCCAAGTTTTCCTCTTCTTTTCAAATTTCTAATTTCCCCAAATCGGTAAATTTTACAGATTCTTCATCTCAAGTTGAGGTCAAATCCTCAAAAAGAACTGCAAAAAATGAGAAGCGGTTCATCGGAAACCAAGTTTTTGCAAGAGCTGGTTCTCTACGCCGCAAGCGCTGCTTTGAGCTGCTTGGTTTTGTTCGCGGGTCTCCGACATCTCGACCCGAACCGCGAAGCGTCCAAGAAAGTAATTAAACACAAGAAGGACATTGCAAAGCGTTTGGGCCGACCTTTCATCCAGACTAATCCCTATGAGGTTTAAATTTATTTCGATATGTGATGTATTGTATGTTATTTTTCAATTATATACCTTAATTTGTAACCTTGAGGGGTTGCTCAACTGGTCAGGCCTTGGGTTTGCTCTCCAGTGGTCACCAGTTTGAGTCCCCTCAGGGCCACTGAGGTGAGTACCCAGCCGTAAACTTCAGGGCCCCGTGGGATTAGTCGAGGTGCGCGCAAGCTGGCGCGGACATCCACGGTTATCAAAAAAAATTATATACCTTAATTTGTAATAATATTGTACGGTATTGTCTGTGTTATTGATTTGTTAAATTTTTTCAGTAATGGATGTGTGGTTTTTTAATTAATAAGAAGAGTTCACTATGATGGGCAGTTAAGTTATTATAGCATACATTTTTTTTAGAGATTTAATATTCGTAGTGACATAAATTTTAGATATTATTGAAAATTACATTTTCATTTTCATTTTGGATTTGGTTTTGGTTAAGGTTTTATATGTTAGCACAAGGACCAAAAAAAAAA